TCTACAGGACAAGAAAACTCTTGCTAGATGTGCAAGCACTGCCCTTGACTGCTGTACAGTCCTCAGTCACTTTGCTTGGGGTGTGCTAACTACCGACTCTCTCCCATAGCTGCAGGACTGTACTCCGTAGTGGTGTGACTGTGGTTCTGTTATTTGAGCATTGATACCTTACAGGCAGGTCAGCGCACTTGAATTGACCTTCCCACAAGCTCAAAACACAGCTTTTTCTGGAGGATATCAGTCCAAACTAGAAGCAACTGCTAACTTGGGGGACAAATAATGACTAAATGTCAAATATTCTGTCCCTCAGACCCTAGGAAAAAACCCGACTGCCCAGGTTGGAGCAGCACTGAAGACAGTGTGCCCTACGCAAATTGTGGTAATTGCCTTTCACAAACTGTGTGGTGTTGTCGAGACAGTCTCCACTCCAGACTGGCTCCTGTGGAGCCACAGATCACTCATTAAAATGACTTGCATCGCTACTGAATTTTAATTAAGGAAAGTGTGAGGAGCAGGTGTTAACTTGTTTTATAGACTCATTATAGTCCCTAGGGACTCCTTAGGCACAGTTAGATATAGTTACCGAACATTTAGAAGTTCCTGATTTTGATGCTTTTTGTCTCATTTACGGACTTGTATTTGTAGCAGGTATTTATTCATATTAATTTAAGGATATTGCTTTGAAGCCAGGGATTCAAAATCCAGGAGCTGCAGGACAAGTCCATCAACAGGACTTCAGCGGGGAAAGATGCTGTTTCTGTCTGCGGCTAATTTGTGGAGAGATTGTCAGCTCCATCCTGCCTCCAGCTCATCATTCGCCTTTCTCCTCTATGTCTTCAGGGATGCTAGCATTCACCTACTGGCATAGCTGCTATCTAACAGCTACCCAAGCCAAATCATCTGAAATTGCCCAGGTTAGTTCACACACTTTAATTCACAGAGCTCTCTTCTAGTTGGTATTGTTTTGAGTGAACCGGGTTAGAGAGCAATTACATGAACAGCTATAAACCACAAAGTAACAGGGCAGTAATGTCGGGGGTGTGTTTGTGTGTGTGAGGCATGGAGAGATGCTCAGAGCAGTAAATTCTTCATAGAGCCAAAATGGGGTATGTGACCAAGGTGTTTGGCTCAGGTTTTCAACACCTGTTAGATAATTTTACTGCATAGTAGAGTCAGCAGCTCCTAAATTACTTAGGCTCGCCATACACTTCTAAGACAAGCATAAGCGCTAGAAGCTGGAGCTCTCGAATACAAACCAGGTACCTATCTCTGATCTGGTTTCTAAACCTGAAAAAGAACCTCTATTATCTTCTGGACTTGGCTTTTCTCACAGAAAGAGAGACATCCACTCAGCCCCCTTGTAAGGCAGTAGATGGAGATTTGTTCTTCATTTTTCCAAATGAAGGGGTTTTGAACCTGCATATCCCATACTACCATCAAATGTTCTGCTCACCAGGTTACCTGCAGGGCTGGCTTCCTTCTGATCCAGCGCACTATTAAACAATCAAGCAGCTCCAGGAGCAGATGTTGAGAATGTACCACCCTCGGCCATGCTGGAGAGCATGTCCTGATGGTGGTGGGCTTGTGATCAGGTTCCTGGTCTAAATGAGCAGAGTGGGGATGTGTAAACATCTTCTACCTGCACAATGAATCCCACAGCCACTCCTCTGTTGAGCTGATATTCATCTCTCAAAACTTTACGCACCTATCAGATGATTCTGAGAGTTACTTTAGGTTTCCTGTACAGTAAGTAATGTTGTAGAAGTAACAGACACCTCTAGAAAATAATTCAGATCTTGGTCTTTCTGTGATAAGTACGAAGAAGCCTAGTGTGACCACACTCATAATTAAAATGCCTCAGTTAAATATCTAGAGTTAAGGAGGAATCCAGGTTCTGGTGCCTGAAAATAGATAGTCTCTAGAAGTTGTCATCCTTGACTTCCAGGCTGAACTTAACTTAACAGGAGTGTTTTGAATATGTCTGCAGGCACTGTTGTATGCATTTCATAGCTGAAGGTGTGCTATTTTGATAGCTCCATCAGGGCTTCAGCACTGAACTGTTCTAGAGACTGAGGAGCCATGCAGACAGCCAGCATTACAGGGTTACTAGACCCTGACTCCTTGTTACTGCACAGAAATGACGCAATGTGGGATTTAAGGACCAGTAATGGGTGGAGCAGTAAGACCTGTTATGATTTAACCTTTTAGCATCAGGAGTAAATCCCCTTGTATGTATGTATTTTATAATAACTGGGCAGGGCACAGTGCACAAAGGATGTTGAAACAGGATTTTACAGTAGCTAATAGATACCATTTGTTGTAAAGAGACCTCAATAAAAGCCCTGAGATGAAAAAAACCCCTATCAGTCCACACAAATCATGTTCAAATTGTAATCATTCCAGTAAAAACTTTAGTAAGAGACAACATCATATTATTATATATGAAGATGTGACTCTGATTCTTTATTTTAAAGGAAGCCAGTTGTGGGCTAGATCATGCTGGGTGCTGCATTGTCTAATGATTTGCAAGGTCAGGTTTTCAAGGTTTAAAGTGTTTTCTGTCCTATTAGGATAAAAAGGGATCAGCAGGTTTCTTCAAATACGCTGGAGGCCTTAAAGCTATTATAACTAAAGTCACCGATGATTAACTGTAAATATACAGACTCTTTGGACCTGGCATGTGGAAGTAAAGGGAAAAAACCCTGCAGAAATAATAAAACTTCTCTGGTCTATAAGACAATTTGACTACCACCTGGGGAGGCTGCACAGTCATTATCAGGCAGAGCAGAAATATTACTTTAAGTTCCTTAATCCCAGAGAATCATAACGGAAATATGGAAGTTGATAATGACAAGTACAAAAGAAAAGATAAAAGACGTTTTCAGAACTTGACAAGTGAGAAACTCTGCCAAATACAGATCTGGTCTTCAAACCCTGGCTATATCCCACAGAATTTACTGACTTTGAAGGGGTCCTGACAACTTTCATTTCGTCCGCTTCATCTGGAGTGAGCTCTTCCTAACTGCCCTGACTTTGCCAAAAGGCGCCTGAGGCATTTTGATTCTTCGCTGAAGGATTTTAGTTCTGCAGTCTTCAGCCAGAACCTCCCTGGCATCCTGAGAGCAGCACCGGGGCAGGCGGTGCTGGCAGACACTGACCCAGGCACTGGCTGTTTTAACCGCATTGCTTCTCACTGCTCAAGACACATAAAAAAATCACAATATTGAAAACATCATCTGCCATGAGAAATTTGTCCCCATAATGAGGTATATGAGGGAAACACCTACCACAGTGACTGTGTGCAAACGCAGCTCATCTCACTCTGTTAGGCGGGAGCGTGCAGAGAATATCCCTCCCTTTATTTCATGCAAGCAAGCACTAGGAAGAAAGTTTGTCAAAAGTTGAGAAAAGACCCTGTTATCTGAGATTCAGCCGAAAGGGACTGAATTCTGCTCCTCATTAGAGCTGTTCAATTCTAGAGGAAATCAAGGAGATGCTGAGTAGGTGCTGTGTTTCACAAAGACCTCAGTTTAGATTTCATTTAAACATACACTTTGTCTTCAGTTCAGGGCTACTTAACATGGTGTACCTTGCCAAGGCTGTTGAACATGTTTAAGGGATTGCAGGAAGGGCTGCCCGCAGCTGCCGCGGAGCTGGCCAAGCAGCCGGATGAATGAACCTAGGAAAGGGAGAAGTCCATCGCAATAGAAACTGGTGCTGCAGGAGTCTCTGTTGTGACCCTACAGGCCCGTCTTGCCCATTCAAGTTAATGACTTGAGTAGTTTTCTAGGATACTTGGCTCTAGGTACAGGCCTAGACCGACACATGTAAGGTTATTTTTACTACCACCAAACCACATGCAAGAAAGGCTAAAATGCATAGGATCTTTCTACTGTGTAGTCAGGGCTTTTCCATCCAATGGATAGTGTGAAGATACCAGTAAATACTGCAGGATATGTACCAGCACCAATACATAGGTATGCCTGCATTATACACTGACTGTTCTGGTGTTTTGAAGATTTACACAGGTAAAGGTGGCAGTGGAGTTTGAAAGATGGAGTTTGGCTTGGAAAACGCTCCACAAAGAGCTAAGTGCTAGTGCAAACTAAGTACTTACCACAACACAACTGTTTTAAATTCATCAGAGAAAATCACTGCCCTAGAGAAGAGGCTTGCTCTACCCCTGCTGCACTCAGTAGATCTTTTGCTGTTGGAACTGACAAAAACATTAAGATAATAACATTGATATTTTGAAGATTCAGCCTGAATTTGTAACAATCACCTCTCAGATTTCCAAAAGTTGCTTCTACAATGAAACAGAAACTTCTCAGGTCATCTGAAAGAAAGTCTGATGTGGAGTAGAGCAGGTACAGATAGTCATAACAGTGAGGCAAAACACGCCAGATGCAAGGCTAGCAGGCAAACAAAAAGGTAAGACTATATTTTTCATGTGAGCCTACAGAGGCTTGTTTAGCAGTTTGACTCTATGCCAAATAGCTCACTGCACCTCTAAAAAATTGCTTTATTCTAAAAAAGTAATCTGAAAGATCCCTGGACTGCAGTCAACTTAATATCACACATATCTGCATCTTCAAAGCATTCTCTTTGGCTCAGCGTAGCAACAGAAGCATAACTATTAATGGTTATTTCAACCTTGAGGTAATTGGATGCCCCACTACCCCACCCACTAAGCAAATAAATTGACTTTGATGTCCCTTCAATATGTTTTTTTCCCCAGCCTGATTATTTCAATCCTACCACCAATTCCAGGGCCATTCATGTGTGTGTTAGGAGGTGGAACTCACCTTGACCATTAGGTCCTTTGCTATTTTAATGGTTAAGTAATGGGATTAAGGTAAATATATGGGAGGAAAATCCTACATTATGAATCAGTCTTAATACAGTAGGAACACTTTAATGCTTATTCAGAAAAAATGTCACAGCAGATGTGATAATTCTGGAGTAAACCATTGACAGCAACACATGTCCTCTCACTGGAATTCAAACATGGTAATTCTTTTATTGTCTTAATCCGTAAATTTTAATGTGTATGAGCAAGCGATGCTTCCATGTCAATCTCAACTCTTTTCTTTCACATACCTAGAGATGCTAGGTATATTTTAAAGCTAAATAATGAAAAATGTACCTTGGTACCTGTTTTAGTCTGCATTCCCTTTGTTTGTTCCTAAGATTACATGGATCATATATAGTGTTGGAAAAAACTTATTCAAAGAACTCTTTTAAATAAAGATCAATTTGCAAATTGTACCAATGACTTTGTACAGACATATATATGTACATAGACATGTAAAAAATAGAAAACACACAGGAAAATTTCCACTTGATACACTTGAAAAATATTAAGATTTGGAAAACATTAAGACATCTGGGTGTACAGCACATGTAAACCATTTTGTGGTGAAACCAGAAGTGATGAATTGCACATTTGCTGATATCAGCTACAGTGTAACAAAGTCAGCTCTTTCCTTTTCATCATTATAGCTGATGCTTCAGCAATAGGCTTTGATTAAAAAAAACCCAAACATAAAAACCCAGTTCATGCCTTAAAAACTTTTGTGTACAGAACAATAACAGTAACAGCATGTGGATTTAAATGAGCTACAAAAAACATCTTAACAGAAGCAGAGTTGTAATACACCTATCATTGATCATCTTAATACCAAAGACATCTGGCTGCATTTTGCATCTACTAATATTAATGGCATGATATTAAATCCTTCAGCTTTAAGGATGTGCAGGCCTGGAGCTCCAGACCCAAGATTATATATTATATTATTTGCATACAATTATATTCCTTAGATAATCATATTGCTCAAAACCAAATGCTGACATTTTCAGTATTTATGCACAGCTCCTGACCTGTCTTTCATGTAAAGCTCCACGCCAGGGAAAACCTTACATAGAAATTCAGGGCCATTTACTGTAAGCACAGCAGCAGCATATTACACAGAAACAGAGATAATCACACTGCCTCACTAAATGTAATATCATTGTCTAAATTAGGAGCTTCGTCAATATAGTGGAAGGTCTCCTGAATTAGATATGCCAGATACTCTTTTTGAGGATCCTCCTATCATCTAGGGAAGCCAAACTCTGTATTGCATGACAATTTCCCATCATATCTCTACAGATCTTATCTGAAGGAGCAAGAATTCACAATACTTTAGCTGGGGATACAGACTGTGTTGAGTTTAAGGATATTTGGCAAATCCTAAATGTCGTGTCATGAATTTCTAGCCCTAATTCTATATAGGGCAGCCCCTCTGTGTGCTAATAAGGCCAATAAGATGGTGATTAGTTCAGTGCTATAATTTATTCCCTGGCATTGCTTGCGGCTTCCTTTCCCAAAGGCAGTAGAAGCTAGTGGAGGATTATATGTAAAATTGTGAAGGGGGAAACATGCAACAGAGCTTGGCAGATCCTTCGTTAGACTCGTACTTACCCGGTTCTGACTCCCTTCTCTAGTGCATAGCAGGAGAGAGTGGTGTCTTGGTTGCCTGCTCCATGACTGGATTCATAAAAATCTGTAACTGGATAATTTGTAGGGAGAACAGTCTTACAGGGTGCCATTAACTCATCACCCAGCTGCTAAGCCTGGACCATGCTTGGTTTCCTCTCAGGGCACCACAGCTGTGAATGAGTGTGCTGCCAATGCTGTGGCAGGGGATCAGCAGACAGGTCCCCCCTGCGGTCGTAAAGCCTCTCCCTGGGGTTTCACCCAGAGTAGGTCTGCAAACATCGGTGATGTAGCTGGGCTACAGCATGAAACTGGCATTCAGAGAAGGTCTTGTCCCCGCCAAGCAAGAGATGCAGGCAGTATATTCCGCACATCACATCACACACTCCTCATGACAGATTAAATACCAGATCCCAAAGTTCTTATGTGTGCTTGCGAAGGGGATTTTTCTTCTGTTTGTGGTACTGGCTTCACACATTGGCAAGTATTTTATAAAAAATCATAAAAGAAATGGCACTTCCATGTGGGGAGAATACCTGCTTGGCTTACAGGCCAAGGTAGACACTGAAGCACACATCTAAGAAGTCTTCCTGCATATGGCCGCTCTCCTAAACTGGGACCATAAATAAGGTTATGTTAACATATTCATTATATTTACATGTTACATTGAGACAGTTATAATCAGTCTCAAGTCTAAGTAATCTACCTCTATATTAGCTTTAGAACATGCAAAAAATAGAGTAGACATCTGCTCCATCTAAGATATGAAGAAGGGGTGTGTTTTCACTAAAAACATTAGAGTTCAAAACTTGGCGTCATCAGTAAAATGCTAATAGACATTTTCAAACTGTATAAACCAAGTGTCTAAATAGAAAAGGTCTGATATTGAAGGGGAACCCATCCACATAAAATAAAGCTCTTTAAAATGGAATGTAGCCGGTTTCTAAATACATTCAAATATTACAGTGTCTCTATAAATAGAAAACTAGATAGTGCTGAAGAGCTAAAGCAGTCCTTTCCAAATTGTTCAAGTGTATATATTTCTGTCTCTTTGCTATCATTAATACACAGTTGCTTGAGCTACAGCTGTTCTAGCCTTTGGCAACAGTTCAAGTAACTTCCCCTCTTCTCTCCTTTTCAACCCTCCATCTTCCATTTTGACACCACAGAGTTGCCAGGGCATATCCTGGTTTCATAAAGTTTTACGAAAAATGCCACATGTCCCAAAATCTGTTGGTGTGTGTGCAGCCAATCAAGGAAGCATGTAATAAATTCACCATGGTCCTTCAGTTGTCACTCAGGTAGTGGCACATCTCTAGTCCCAGCGTTATATCCAAGAGAGGCTATGTGCTGACAAGCTCCCTCTTACTTGCACAGAGCCTGCTGAGAAGGATTTCAGAATAAACTTGATTTATTGGACCTCGGACATGATATGGGGACTGAAAATTTGTTGCATAGTTCTGCAGTTGTGATGGCTTGCTTTGACTGCCAAAATATTTCCCCAGTGTATAGTGCCTTGATAACGTCATTGTTATGTGCGGACTTTCTTCAGAGGGATTGGATTTCACCACCTGCAAAAGAAGTGACATATGTGAGTGCTTTCTGCCTGCACCTAGAAAGATACACAGCTGTGTGTACAGAAATGCTGAGACAGTTCTCCACAAAGCAGGACCTGATACTCTTACCTTGAGCTGCAAGTTGCTCACAAACAGTATTTTAGTGGACCAACTTGTTATGTTACATACTAATTAAAGTGCAAGATCTTATTCACTTAAGCCTTTAAATCTAAACGTATAGGCCCATTATACTCAGTTGTTTGATTCTGTAATGCCTTTCTATATTAGACACTGTTCTCTTCATCAGGGACGATTTATCTGAACAACAAAATTCATACTTAACAGCTTGTCTGTATATTTACCATGGGAAAAAATAAACTCAGGACAACCCTGACTTGCAGGAAGGTTTAAATCCTGCTCTGATCCCAAGCACTTGAGGAACATATGCTGTGTCTCAGCTGTGAGCCCTGCGAGAGTGTCTCACTCTCAGGTCTTGATGCAAACCTGGCCTAGCTCCATGTTGAGATGAAAACTCTCATGTGTCATGTTTCTCCAAGAAGGGAGTTACAGTGCAATTTAATATCCCTCTCCCTGGGGCATCACACTGACATAACCTCAATGTGGTTCACTATCTTAGTGCAGAAGAATGCTCCTCCTTGGCCCCCAAATATGTATAAAGCTCTGGGATTATCATGTTCAATTTGTATGGAATAAACAAATGCCCATGGGACAAAGGAGAGAGAAAGTGAAAGGTATGGTTGTCAGGAGTCTAATGCCTGGGGGGGGTGGTACCCTGTGAGATGCTGAAGGTCTCGTCTGAGTGCACACACAGTCACTGATGAATAATTAAGCAAATTCAAGAGAGACAAAACTTCAGAACCTTGCACAGATGCAGGACATGCATGCAGGACAATGCTGACCCGGCATTCGAAAATCCAGAGAAAGCAGAAAAGAGGCCAAGGGTTAACTTATTTTTAAAAGAGTAAATGTATGCTGACTTGATAGCTCTGATGCCCATCAATTTTCCTGCTATATCAATCACAGCAGACACTTGAAGAAGCATTTATTAATGCATATATTTATGTGGAAGCATATTAGCTTTTTAAAAATATAATGTATATTTACTGTCACTGAACAATCAGAAACAATGTTCATATGTAGTGAAGCTCATAATAAATTAAACGACTCATACAAAATTAAATGTGAGTGAAGGAATAACGTGCAAAAGCTTGAAAGACTGGGCAGAGAGACTATGAGGGAGCTGGCTGAACTAAAAAAAGACCAGGAATTATCCATGTAGAAAATTAATATATCCTCTGATCAATTTGATACAGCTAAGCCAAGGGCTGTTATTTGTTTTCATGCAGTTACTGCAGGTTCATTTTTCTAAATTAGTGCCTTAGATCTTACAACTATTTCAAACCGATGCCACCTTGAACCAATCACCCAGACTGCATTCCTGTTAGGCATAACCTCCCAGGAATGCAATCTAATGTTCATCCAGCAGCCAGCCACTGATTAAGATACCAAAATCCCAAGGTTGCTAGTTTTTATGTTGTGACCATGATTTCATTGTCATTAAATTAGGAAATGAATCCGAATAAAAAGATAGGTTCCATAAAGGTCTTTATAACTGCTGGCCAATCTACTTCTCCATAAGCGTTTGTGAAGAATGAGGTAATTAAAAAATCAGGTTTGCATGTATGCATAGAACTAGAAGTATGTTTGGGCAGAAAGTGCCAGAGTTATCCAAGATTTTTTGTCCCAGATTGATATAATCCCTTTGTGAGTCCAGATCCCTTGGCAATCTGAGCGAAGATTGTAGGGTCTACAGAGCTGCGGATTTCTATGCTATCAGGGTGACCCGAGGCCCTCTGAAGTTGGTTGGTGGGAACTCAAATAATTTATTAGGACAATCAGGGGAAATAGCTTTCTGTTTGGCCAGCTAGTGAGAACTGAATGAGAACTGCTGAATGCATTTCAGTTCTTGTTTTCTGACTGCACAAAATGGCCAGCCCTCCGTTCCCGCACTGCCGTGCTTTAGCTCAGATGGCATTTACAGAGGGGTGCAGTCTTCTGGGAGTTTAGGAGGTCATTTTTTAAGAGAAAGAAAGTGAAAGTACAAAGCAGTAGATTTAATCCATTGCATCTGGTTTCATAAAACATGAAAAGTGCTGGGGTTTTACACAGTGTTCTTGGCTCCATCCTCGGAGGCAGAATGCCATTTTCCTAGTGCAAACTGCTTCAGCACCTGATGAAACTCCACTTGCCAGGATGCAGAAATAAACTGATGACAAAACTGTTAAAACTAATGAGGTATCAAAAGCATTCAAGGACTTTCTTTTTGCTTTCCTCAAGGATCAAGTCCGGTTTTTGGGGGCTGATGGATTCTCCTGGGCACATCAATGCCTCTTTCAGGCACAATGGCTTCTCAAGCCTCATTAGCAACAGCTCTGTGAGCCAAATTCTCCCCTGATCCTCCCCAGAAACACATACTCTCTGTTGAGATTCCTCCAGCAGAGAAGCAAGGCCAAATCTGCAGATGAGCTCATACAAAATGATGGAGGAGTGCATGAAAAATGCTGATGACCGATCACGCCCTGCTGTTTTCTACCCAGTTCCATACAAAGCATCTGAAATATTTCACTTTGAAGCTCTCTGTTTCACTCAAAAGCTCCGTTTCACTCAAATGGCGAGCATCAGCAATGACCCACGAAGACACCAACATCTGGGTTCTAGAGAAAAAAGGGTCAATATAGCTGTCTGGGGGAAATGGAGGGAGGCATTTACTCCATGGGACTATTTATCCATCGCATAAATATCTGCTCTGTGACTTACTCCCTCTTTTCCAGCTCCGTTTGGACTGAGCTGCGTTCATGCCTTTCTCATGTACTGAGCAGAGCAGATTAAAGGATTAGTTAACTAACCACGCCTGCTGTGTTTGGTCCCAAAGCAGGACAGAGGCCACAGCAATGGGCTGAAAACATGTGAGCTGCTGAGGAGCCTGAGGTGGAAACCAGCTGTGAGGCTGACACACAGCACGTGAGGTCAGATGGGTCTGATAACACTCCCAAACCTGTGCTCAGTCCCAGTGAGCCTCATACTGGAACACAGTCCCAACCAGTGGCAGCTGATTGTCTCCCCACTCTCTTTTGGGAACGCATTTGTTGTCCGGTAGACTGTCTCTGATATTATCTCTCTGCCTGTGATATTTAAGAAGAAAAATGAAAGCCTTATAGTTACTGATTTTTTTATTCTTCTTTATGCAAGGGTGACTGCTGTGGCTGAGAGAATTAAATATCCACTGGCTACAAGAAAATAGTTAGGCTTGCTATGCTAGTCCTTGGCCAGCAGACACCACAAGGACACTTCGGAGCCTATGCTTGAATTTTACTATCATCACCACTGAATTTCAGTTTGTGGTTTAATTAGCCACAGTATATTTTGTTTTCCAGTGTATACTGTGGGTGTCTAATGAAGGAAACCTTATTTTTAGATCTTTGCTTTTTTTGGATCTTTAAGGAAAATATATCACAGCTGTCCTGACATTTCTTCACAGCAAAAATTAGTGCTTCCACTTCATTCCTGGTGTCACGGCCCACCTTTGTACCTGTGAAGCTCTATGGAGCTTCTGTGCTAACCCTGCACACGTCCAGGTCCTGGGAACAGGCTTGGCCAAGAGTGAGGCTTACAGAAAAATAGGCACGACTTGGCAAAATAAGCAAAGGGGTTTTATCCTTCTCTTGAGAGATTCAGAAAACATTTGGTGGTCTCTCTTATTTGAAGTAATATGTTTTGACAGAAAACAAATTCCTAAATTCATGCTGGAAAAATGCTAGCATTTCACTTGTGTGGGTGATAGTCGTCTTTAATATTTATGCACTTTTGATAACTGTAATTAAAAAAGTTCTAGGATTTTCTCCATAAGAACTAACTTGTGGAGTTCTGTCTTCTAAATGACACATCAAATTGCTTGTGTCATTATTCTAGTCAGTAACCAAACTCCTGAGATTTCTTCCAACTAGTAGCTTCTTACTGGCTCAAAGTCTCCAGCTGACTGTGAAACACCATGAATTCATTAACTCTTGGTTTCAGAGAGACATCTTTCATTGCATCCTTTTCTTTCCTCCAGTTTTAACTTTTTGGTAACAATTTCTTCTCATTCTATATTTCATTCTGTGAAAGAACTTGCACCTGTCATCTCTCTTTTGATCACGCAGAGGAAATGCAATCTTCCTGAAACATACGGCAGTTCAAGTTTTATGGTCCCAAACAGATTTTAATGGAATAAATTGTGGTAGTTTCCTAGTCTTTTGTTAAACAGACAACCCAGATTCAGTTCATAAGAATGAAGATCCTTGTAGCATCACAGGCAATGTCTTACTGTGCTAAACATGACCTTTTCTATAGAGGTACCAGAAGGCTTCTCTGTCCTTACATCTAGCAACAAGTTAAGGCATGGGGTTACTGATGATCTCTGAGTATATGATTCCAGTTTTCACTGAAGAAATTTTTTTTACTGGGAATCAGGAGCTAAGCATCTGGAAAGATATGAGTCTCCTTTATTCCCCAAAGCTTTTTCTGGTTCCTGAAGGGAGTAATGTAATGTTCATGGGTCTTCATTAGGGAAATGAATGACGTGTTCGGATTCTCAGCAGGCTGACCACTCATAATGGGAACCTGGGAACTGGCCTTTTTTATAAACAAGTTGGTGTCATGGACACAAGGAAGGACTTGGTTGGAAGCTACAGGAATAGTCTGGTGGCCTTGGTGACACTTTAACTATCATATGCAAAATTACTGTCATCAGCCTTATGACAGAGGGTACCTGCTTACCTGACTACTCAAAAATTATACTCTCTGTTTTCATTCAGGGTCACCTGCACTAAACCAGGGGTGCACTTCTTCATTTGCTATACATAAGGTACAAGAAATCCAAAACTAAAACAGATCCCTCCTTTGCTGATGGGGAAGAGCTCTCACTATAAAAAGACATACCACATACTCAAAATACATTTTAAAGGAAACCAGAAAAACTTTAAATATCTTGTTTTTCAAACTCTTTACTTTCACTGGTTTGGCAGCCTCTGAGCAGATTTTGTGCCTAGATATAATAATGTGTTTGCTTATTCATTTTTTATTTAATCTATGGACTCCTGTCATTTGTAATACATTGTGAAGATTCCTTGCCAGAACTTCAAATGAACAGAAGAATATGTTCTCAGTTGCCCTACTCATATGTTTTACCATGTCCCTGTTTTACCAGTCCAGTAGTTATAAAACAGAAGACAAAATTTCTATAGATTTCAGGAAAAAAAGAAAACAGAACTATGGGCGTGAGATTTCTGTTTCTACAGTCAGTCACTATAACTATCCCAGATAACTTTCTCAGACATATGAAAACAGATATACAGCAGTAAGATTGGTCTTTCAATTTTAAGCTCCATTTTAAATGTACCTGTGGTTTGTTGAAAGTCTGCTGACCTGCTCAGTTAGGAAGGCTTGAGAAAAAATCTTGTGAGACTGAGGTATGGCAAAAAGATGAAGCGAGTCCATGCAGAAGCAGTTGGGATATATAATGCATAGCTAATAATATAAGAACCTGGAAACTGTGCAACATCCTTTTATACAGGTTACCTTTGCAGAAAAGCATGCTTTTTATTTCAAGGAATCGCCACTATAGCAGTTCAGCCCGTCCTCGGACAGCGTTGCACTCTAAGCAGCGAGGGGCAAGTGCCACCATACAAACTGCTATCTCCGTGGTTTTTATGCAGGCCTAACTTTGAGTCATGGATGTGAACCTCATTGCATACCTTCTTATTTCTAAGGACCCGACAGTTAAAATCTCTCTTAAATACCTGGGAATGATGTAAGCATAAACTATTACCTCATGGAAATGGCAGCCACACTTCCCTTGCAGGAATTCTTTGTAACGTCCCATGGTGATGACAAAGGTGTCAACAACTTCATAGCCAAATTTTTTTGCTGTATCCAGAATAACCAAGTTTTCATTCCACAAGTTTTGCACTTCTGCCTGCACTCCAGATAAAATATTGCAATGTCTTGTCAGAAGGACTGTTTAAAGGTTATTTTATTCTGCCACTGAAATGAATAGCAAAACTGCATTTTGAATAAAGCAATTATGTTATACTCCGGACAAGAATTACTATAAATTCACTCTTGAAAGTAGCTATTACTCCAAGACCATTGTAGATTTTTGCAGAAATTTCTTAGAATGGGTTTTGCAGTACAAAAATAGTTACAAGAAAATCTGAATATTTTTCCCTTAATTACACAACAAATCAGGTTGATTTCACTAAGGTCTAAATTAAAATCAAATTAGCAGTAACTATAATTACTTTTCAAGAGTTGTGCAGCTTCCTTCATAGAAAGAATTCAATGTTATTTAACACATAATTGCTGGGTAACTTTTTATATATACTTAGCTAATATGAGGTATAATTCAGAAAAAAAAATTCCTATTACAAAGTTGCCTGTAACAAATGGTGAAATTGTTCCTGTAAAAGAAAAATTCAGCTTCAAATCAAAGTCATTGAGACTGTTGCTTAAAAAGGAGTACAGGGTCATAGGTATCTTAGAAATGGTTACACTGAAGAACAGATTATTATTTCTCAAGATACTGCAGGAAGGCCAGGAATAGAAAAAAGGTTAGTCATATATTTGTCAAGGCGGTGGATTTGACACTGAAGACAGAAGGGCTTTGAGAGTAGCTAGGGTAATCCAGAAGTCCAGAGCACCCAAACCACATGGGTAATTTGGCATATGATTCCAATATTGAAAGGGAAAAGAATGTCGGTTATGCCCTGTAGTTGATTTCTGGAGTTTTATAAACTACTGGATGAGAAACAGAAAAAGGCAGTCCTGGGAAGCCTTTAATACTCTTTCTGTCCTTGCCTCACCTACCTTTGATCAAAGTACTGCTTCTTCCTTCTAGGACTGAACTCCCCTGAAAGCTATGGCAGGAGCTATGACAACGTTTCTTCATGTTGAGTCCAACCATTTCCCTACTGTATCCTAATTTGGTCATCTGGATAAATTAAGCGAATGGTCGGAATCAGTAAGAAGACGTTCACTGAAGACAAGGCAGATAGTACTAACTTCAAAAGAAAGAATGGGCAAAATCTGACAGGGCAGTCTCCGTAGCAAAAAGAAGGGTGAGAGTAACAGTAAGTCACACACTGAATACAGCAGTGTGTTATGGTTGCAGAAAGACGTGGGCGCCGGTCCCCAGTGTGATAGGAGTGCTGTACGTAAACTGTGAAAGCTAATAACTCTCTCTTTTCAACACCTGTGAATAGCTGGAGCGCTACACGCAGCGCTGGTGGGCATCATTTACTCCGTCCTGCCCTCTGGGGCTTCTCAGCCCTGTCTCATTCAGCCATTTTGTGTATGTTCAATAGAGAACCACCGTCCAAATTGTAAATAAAAATATTGAATTGAACGAGTTACACAGCACATTGAAATGAGCCCATCTGCTACTCTGAGAGTCGTGGATGTGATTTAAATCGACTGTAACATCCGATTAACATACAAATAACAGGCTAGATTCACGGGTACATTCCAGCTGCTTTGTAATGTTCTGGCTTCATAGGTCAGTTAAGATAGATTTATGGAGAGCTGTGCAATGCAGCCAGACCAGTGAATCTGATCCAGCAGTAACCATGGAGGAAACCTGGGGAGGGCCAGTGCTCGACATGGTACGAGGAGCAATCTGCCTATCCCCAGCTCTATTTCTCAACTTGGGCAGCAGGCTTATATCGGAGCTTCTTCTGGTTCCTGGGATGTCTGACCGAGCACGGCGTCTCAAATGGCGCTCTGATTGCAGCAGAATCCACGAAATAAGGCAAATCGGTTTGAATCTGCATCAGCAAGCCGTATGAGCGAATACAAGCATTGTTCTTTCTTTGATCCACTTAAAGCTTGCTCAGCAGAGGTTGTAACATATTTTGACCAGACAGCAAAATTATTGCTGAAATGACAAGTCTTCCGTGAAAATGCACTCTAAATATACTGTAGCTTACCTGTGATAGAGAATGTATTCCATCCACTGGGAGGTGAAAGCCCATCCCTATGGATTTGATAATTACCAGGATATTTGATAGATTTTCCCTGTTTGGCAAATAAAAAAAAAAGATTACATTTTACTTAACAGACACATCAAAAGACACTTCATTTTTATTTTTTCGAAGTCAGTTAAGTGTACACACATGAGAAAACAAATGAAATGTTGTATTTAAAATTTTTAGTTAAGTTGTTTCTTATAATTTATCATATCAAGACTTGGAATAACACCAAGCACATAACATTACCTGTTCAACACCTTTTGGATAATTTGCAGGTGATTGGAATTAAGCCACTGAACACCACCTACAATTAATACGGTCTGGTCTGTATTCTCCAGGGGACGTGATCTGAAACCCAGAAAGGAAAAACAACACATGTTGCCTTAAAACAGATGGCAAACATTTTAACTGCATTGCATTGCATTTCAGTGAACTGTATCTGGCATCTTGATCAGAGGCCTGATGTCATTTTATACTATTTTTCAATCACACAATACGGTCTGCACACGTTATGTTTAATCGTTTACTGACTTTAATTGTAAAATGTGTTAAACACATTTGTGAGTAGAATGAGAATACAAACAAGCCAGCAATAGAGTTTGTACTGTACCTCTGCAGCAGTTGTTCTAGTGCTTTTTCAAAAGTTGGCTTCTGGTTTGCGTTCATCCAAAACTGGGGGTAGTAGGAGTAACTGATAAAGGTTTTCCCCTCATTGATATTATGATAACATTTAACATCATGAGTCTTTTGCCATTCCTGAAGAGTCTTATTCACTCTTTCTATTAGATAGTACATCATCCCTCTGTTAGTTGAGTCACCTATAAAAAGAATCTTTGGATGGAAAAAAAGATATGACTTAGAAGTTGTACACTCCAAAAACCAAAAGCTAAGAAAAGAATACAGCTAGTCTGGAGGTTTTTAAACCCTTCTCATAATGTTCAAGAAATATATCTGTGAGCTGCCAGTTCTCCAGCCCTGACATCTCAATACTAAAGTTCTTCTTTAGCAAAATCTCTGTGATCTGATTAACAAAAAGCTATATTATGTGTTTCAAAGACAAAAAGTACAGGTTATAGATGGCTATAGCTGCACAGTTAGTCCTGCATTTTTCATCCTTGTTGATAATTTCTTTTGCTTAAGTTTATATTTACTTCCAATTGTTAGCACAGAGACTCTTGTGATTGCTTGCAGCTTCCTGCTTTTGTTCCTCCAGTTTTTCATGTGGTTCTTCCTACACAGCACGTCTTGGTTAATGTCTGTTTTCCATAAATGTGATTCATTAGAATTTACACCAAAGTAATACACACACACATATCAATGGATGCAGCTGCTGCCTTATTTGTAGAGAGATGGTCTTTCTGCAGTTTCAGAGGGGGAAAAAAGGGGGTTATTTTGGTGGCAGATAATCTGAATAGAGTCCTGGCATGTGTGATGTGACCACCAGGAAGCATCGTGGCCTGAAGGGAGTCAGAAGTTCTGTCAGGATGACAGAAGTACTTCAAGTATCAGCAGTCTTTGCAGGGCTACTCTGAACTTGCAAATGAATGAAAAAGTCAAATTTGGGCTTGCTCCTACCCATTCTGTAGACTCCCCCGACAAATCAAACATCTCTGTATGTGGACACCACAGAACTTAACGTATGGGGTTTTTTAATGTGATTGCCCTATTTTTAGTGGATAGGA